GCTTCGTTGTGGTGAAGTAAACCAAGTTCTTGTGATCTGTATACACCTGTACTGTGTATTTTGATCCTTCTAAATAAACTCGCCATTCTCTAAATGCATCGACTATCGCCAGTAACTCCTTGTCGTATATCTCGTAGTTCAACTCGGCTGGTGATAGTTTTCGAGAGTAGAATGCGATTGGTTGCTATTTCTCATTTTGACCTGGTTGGCTCAACACTGCGCCTATAGCGAAATCTGAGGAATCCGTTTCCACTATGATTGGCTTCTCAGGATCGAATGTTAACAGTATTGGCTCCTCGGCCACTGCTTGTTTGAGCGTCTCGAATGACTCCTGCGCCTTGGCGGTCCATTCGAAGCTCCCTTGCTCTTTTCTTGTTAAATTGGTTAAGGGTGTTGTGATCCCTGAATAACCTTTAATAAATCTTCGATAGAAGTTGACGAATCCTAAAAAAGATTGTACTTCCTTAACTGTGGTAGGCTGCTTCCATTCGAGCACTGCCTTAACCTTGTCCTTGCTCATCTTGAGCCCTTGGTTCGATACGGTGAATCCCAAAAACTCTGTTTCTGTAACGTGGAATTCGCATTTGCTTGGCTTGCACAGCAAATCAGCCTTAGCTAAACTTTCAAGGACATTGTTGACGTCCTTAATGTGTTGAACTCCGCTGTCTGAATATACTAGGATGTCGTCCAAGTAGCATATACAGCAAGTATCCAAATATTGTGATAGCACATTATTCATTAACCTCATGAAAGTAGCTGGCGCGTTGGTTAGCCCGAATGGCATAACCTGATACTCGTATAGCCCATATCTTGTCTTGAAAGCGGTTTTCCATTCCTCGCCTTTCTTCATTCTAATCAAGTGGTACCCGTTTCGTAGGTCCATCTTGGTAAATATTGTTGCTCCGCCTAATCGATCTCTTAATTCCGTAGCTAATGGAAGTGGATATCGATCTTTCTTTGTAAGCGTGTTGAGCTTTCTGTAGTCCACAACTAGTCTCTTAGTACCATCCTTCTTGGGTACCCACATAGTTGGACTTGCCACTTGGGATGTGGATTCTCTGATCCATCCCTTGGCCAAGTTGTCGTCGATATATTCTTTGAGCGTCTTTAGCTCATCGGCTGACATTGAATAAATTGGGGTGTGCACAGGCATCTTGCCTTCCTCCAATATTATCTCATGATCCCACGGCTTGTGTTCCGGTAAAGCCTCGTGGATCCCTGGTTCCTTAAAAACCTGTTCATATTTTCTGTACTGTTCTGGTATCGTAGGCTTCTTTTTTGCCTCGATTGCGATTTCCTGCCGTACCGTCGGCTTCTGCATTTGTAGAGGAGGTGTACTGGCCTTCGCTCTTAATGGAGGACCCTGGACTGGGTGTCCTACGTCGCCGGTGTTGTTCGCGTTCAACTCTCCTTGGCGCGTGTTACGTCTCGCGGACGCCTTGAACGTGTCGTCATGACCGTCCTTGCACTGATCAAATGTCACTGTTCCTTGTGACCAATCTATTCTGGGATTATGTGCCTTCAACCATGGCATTCCTAAGATGATCTGTTGTTGGCCCAATGGCACAACGTCAAGCTGTATAACCTCCGAATGTTGGGTCATATTCATTCGTACTGGTCGTGTCTCCTGTGAAACGTTCCCGTCAGATCCTGCTAGCTGTCCGTCAACTAACTGCAATTGGTAGGGGTTTTGTTTCTTCTGGAGTGGGACTCCCAAATACTTTGCAGCTTCTGGTGCAATAAAATTTCCTGTAGCCCCTGAATCTATCATGGCTTGCTGTATTTGTCCGTTTATTTTGACCTTGCAGTATATTTGACCTGCTTGTCCTGTAGCATTTAGCTGTGGTGTAATTTGCTCATTCTCGCTATTCTGGATGATCTCATCGGCAAATGTTACACGTCGAGGCTCTTCCTCTTCTAGATAGACAGCGCTTGTTCCTGATCTAGCTCTGTCATCAAGTAAGTCCCTCCATAGGGTGTATCGGTAGTTCCCTTGAGTGACTTTCATTATCGTACCCACAACTGGTGGTGGTATTATGGCCTGAGCCTGGACCCGGTGTTCTTCTCCTACTCTTCTGCATAAAAATAGAACCTGATTCTCATTTCTTTCAGATGTGTGGTGATAGAACACTTCCCATAGCTCTCCCCTGTCTGGCCACTGGAGGTGATCGGTACTAATTCTTTCTACGAATGATGTGTTTGTAGTGATTCCAAACCATAGAATTCGATGCTGATCGACGTACCGAACCTCATACGATTCGCCTTCTTCAGCGTCTGTTACGCTGAGGTCTTCGTTCATAGTCCCTTCGTCTGTATCTCCAAATTTCCAGATACGACGGTTCCATTGGTCAATTTCCCGAATAGACCATGATTCTCCTAACTGCGGGTCTTTGTTTACCCATGAGAGGCCTTCGACCTCTTCTTCTTCTTCGAGCTCTTCTTCGTAAGCTGGTGGTGGCGTGGCTAGCCCTGTCATGCTAACAGCACACAATTGTGGCGTGAAGGTGGCATTAAGTTGGCCCTTGCCGAACTTATTCTTAAAGTTACCCTTCTTGCCCCCTGTTCTCTTGCTTCGGCATTCTGCTGCTCGGTGCCCTGCTTTTCCACATTCAAAGCATAAGTTATTTTCTCGTCTTCGTTTCTTTTCCGGATCATCATTCCCGCTCTTGTGGTGCGTAGCGTCGAGTTCCATAGGGTCGCCATATCCCTGTGGATTGTAACGTGGTCTACCCTCATTCTTGCGGTAACGCCCTTGCTTTTGATTTCCCTGGGGTTTGTATGATCTTTGACTTTGTCGATATCGGTAAAGACGATCATCTGACTCGATGGAGTCCTGGATTAGGTCGTTCAAGTCTACACTCTCGGCAGATCTTTCTAACTCCAGTCTGACTTCTGGCTTGAGTCCTTTACGATAGTGACTCATGATGGCGGTTTCGTCCCACTTGGTTGTTCCCGCATATCTTCGGAATTCCGTAGCATACTTCAATGCTGATCCTGTCTGCTTGAGGTTGAAGATCTTATCTTCCGCTACCTCTAGCTCATTAGAGTTCCCGAAGATTCTACGTATCTCTGTCTTAAATCCTTCAAAACTGTTGAAGATTGTTCGAGTGGGTTGCATGCGATCCTGATCGTCATGCTCGAAATAGTCGCGCAAGTATGGCTGAATCCATTTGCCTGCCTCACCTCTGAGGTATGACACGGCCCAAATACTCTTAGATTCCTTTTCGGTGAACTTGTCTTGGTTGAATCTAAAATAGATTTCAAGTTGTAAGAGGAAGGTGTCGAGTTCCTGTCGACTTCCTTGGTATTTGTCTGGTAAGGCAATCTTGAGTGTTTCGTTGATGGTAATTTCCTTGGGAGCGTCGGTCATCTCGACATCGTTGGTGTCGGGTGCTTGTGCCTGACTGCTCGCGGATGCACTGATGGGTGTCATATCGTCGGTTGGTATTGAATTGGTACTTGAAGCAGAAATGGTGCTCAAAGTGTTACGGGAGCTGCCTCTAGGGTCACGTGGAAGTGTCTAGAGATCTCTCGAGGTGGTTTAGACTAGACTTCAAGTAGGAATTCAATAAGGTTGTAACTGGTTGCAATTCTCGTAACTATAGTAATGAAACTAATGATTGTTCTTGAGCACGAAGCTCTATATTGTAATGAAATCCCATTCCCTTATATAGACCTTCGTTCTCTGTTGTCCCACTGCTTCCCACTGTGTCCCACTGGGCCTTACTCAGTGGGACTCAGTGGGACACCTTGGTCAGGTGATATTTTAATCAATCTAGTCATGTGACGACCTCGGTCGTAACAAGATTGTTGAATACTAAGTTTTTTGTCTTTTCGAATAGCCTCGATGACTAAGAGTATTCGAGCTTTATTATTATTCGATTATATAATAATTGATTAATAAAACGTATGTTGAATTAAGATATAAATATTTAAGGTGAAAGTGATCCATTCGGTGATATGATCCACTCGGTGATGAATCACGTTAACCTTAATAGAGGAGAGTTTGTAAACAGTGTAGAGATCTCGTAGGCAATGGTATGATTTGAATGGTATATCGTATAAACTCATTAAATTCAGAATACACTTTTCCTATTATAGAAAAACGTTTGAATATATAATTGAATAGATTATAAAAGTGAATAAAGCATTAGAGATTTCTATTACTTCTTTTATTTGAAAATAGGAAATAAGAGATGGTTTTAGTTTAAAAGGGTTTAAATGTGTTTTAGATTTGGTGAGTTTATCTTATATAATAGTTAATAAGGTTCTTAATTGGATCTAATTGGGATTCTATAATGCTTAATTGGCTTAGCATTCCAACGCCATTTTACACACTTTCCCTAAAATGTAGATCCAAATTCTAGCATTTTACAATTTCTTATTCAAAAAAAGTTTAAATAAATCAAGATCTGAGGGGATGCACAATTGCACAAAGGTATTACGTGAGAGAATTTAAGGTTGATAGGTTAGAGGTATGTATGTATGACATCATTAATATCAAGTAAAGTATATATTAGCATTTTGTGAGTCGCTCACTTCATATGGAAATATAGGCATACTATCTGATGCCAATATGATACAAGGAGGATGGATTGTCTCAAAGTAAGGTTTATACATAGGAGACCGTCCTTAATGTAGTTCAGAGCCATGATTTGTCCTGGAATAGTTGCTCTGGGACAAAATCAAGTCGAGTGCATAATTTATGCAACCAGTGCTACCATGTATGCTTTACCCAATATTGATGATATCATACATACATACCTCGATGAGTCGTTCCACATGAGTCGTTCGTTATTGACACTTTCAGCTCAGCTCTAAATGGCAATATGCATCAGATGCCTTCTTCATTAGTCACATCTGTCTTATGCCCTTTCCTTAATGTACCGACAATGCATTTATTATAATCAGAGCGTAAGTTTCCTGTCTGATCTCACAATGCTACTATTTCACTTCTATCATCTTTCTCTTCTTTCAAATCAGAACAGATCTTGTCTAAAATGGGAAATTGGAAATTTATTGAGACGGTCTCTATGGAGCCTGATAGTTCCGAAGTCAATATGGGCTTGATCATGATGTCCACCAGGGAAGGTTTTCGCAACATTTTCTGCAACAAACTAGCTGAGGTCATTAAAACGAGCTATCAACCAATGGGAGATGAGAAAAAGCCTTCAGATAAAGCAATCAATGGTGCCTGCGACATTATATCTAAATATGTCCATGCATGGGTGATGGTGTACGAACGCAGACAATCCACGGAAAGCATCGAGTGGCTCACTAGAGAAGAACAATACCAGCTCCAAAGCCAGCTCCAAAGCACGGTTGGTTCTCTCTCTACAAATTTCACCCCTTCTTACCTTATTAAATGGCTTGCTGACTCGGCTTACTCAAGAGGTCTCTATTCCAACTTATTAGGAACATTCTAAATCAGTACATCCATGGCAGCGCAGAAAGAGTACAGCACATAGAAGTTGCCCAAGAACTGTTTGATCCTTTGTTGAAGTTCGCAACGAAGGCCAGCCTCAAGGACTTCGCGACATTCTTTAGTGAGTCAATAGCATACGACCGCGACCATGCTCGGGCATCACTCGACAATCTCACCAGAAGAGATGTCATTCATGAGGAGGATGCGAAGAAAATCAAGAGCACACTCAACACCGACTATAAAGCTTGGTTGTTCATGGAGTTTCATAATACAGCTGATTTTGCCGCTCTCATCGACAATGAAATAGCTCGATTAAACATCTTCAGAGTATTGGAGGAAGAAAATGTTGCGACTAACGCATTGCTCCGCACCATTTATCAGATATATAAGTGTGACACCGCAGGAAGGCAGGAGGCCATTGGCCAAGAGGGCCTTAGCCGAGGATGGACACGTGATACAGGATCCATTTAAATACTAGGTCATCGTTCAAATAACGCAGCTTCTCCACGTTGAATGAACATGATATGTCACGTGATACATAACCGATGGAGGCCATTAAGTGCATGTTTTATCTTGAACCTCAGGCGAAACAAGGAGTGAGCAGAGTAAATCTGCCACGACAATATAAAAAGCCAAAAACATACAACAATGATTATTCGCCGGTGGTCACCCAGCCAACTACTAATTCACTGATCTCAAGGTTATACATGATAGAAGGAACAGAATACCAAGTTCTCCTTGAGCTGCCATCGCTCTCGCACCAAGACCACCATTAAAACCGCTCCCCGTTGTCAGCCTTCCGCTTTCCTGTAGCAGCCAGTGAAGCGGCCAAAGAGCGGTTAGATACGTGAAATGGTTGATCGATTCCGAAATCTGCTTGTGGCATCTCCGAAGGCCACATACTGTATCTCCAATCATAACAGCAGCTTCATGGAAACTAGAGATGGGTGTAGCCTTGAATCGTATACTTCAAAAAGCGAATAAAGTACTAAGTAAATATCAACACACTAAAAAAATCCAACTATATAATGGAGGAGTACTTACTGGATAGAAAGCTGAAGAGATATTATTACAACAAGAGGTCGATGATCAGATTCGATACGATAAGGTTCAAAAGGTAGTTAATTCCTAGAAGAAATCATTTACTAGTTACTGCTACAGCAAGTGGAGAAAAGACTAGTTATAGTTCAAGAACTTGTCAAAATGATGTAATAAATCCTAGATTATTAGATTCTTAATAGTTTTAATCAGTTGATTAAGTTGTTGTTGAATAATATGGTTTTGAAGTAATAAATTGAGGTAAAAGTGATCCACTTGGTGATATAGTTCACTCACAAATAAACCACATTACTCCGTTTAGTTTATAAATTTAAATGTCAAAATAGTTTATTTCGATTTAGATTCGGATTTCAATCTTAATTATAATTCTTTCCAATTAAAAATGAACTAAATCGAATTGCAAAAACAAACTTTACCAAATCCTCATTGCTAGCCAACCATTATTCTACAACACTAATTGCCTTTTTCTATTCATATATACATGCTTATTATTCATTTTCTGTTTTATGATTATTATCAGCATTAAACAAAACCTAATTAAAGTTTATTAAAGGGAATATGAATATTCTAATGGAGATTACCCTTATATCTAAGAATCGAATCAATTTATATTATTGACTTAAACGAAGAATCAGATATCAAATTGTGAAAACACAAATTTGTCATTTCTTATAGCTTCTGGATACAATGCTTCATTATCTTTCGACTTGATAATAGATTTTATTGCAACTTATCAAGCTATATAATCATACCCTATCTACACCACCAAGCATTCAAGTGCTGCCCAATTTTCCTATCAAGATTATATCAATCTCCCTATCAATGGCTACTTGAAAAGCTCTTGTAAAGCAGAAAGCGCTTACTTATATCTTTATAAGCTTTAACAGCACATATCTGCCTCGGTCTGTGATCTGTGATCTACAGATGCTTTTGTACGGATGAATCGCTTACTGCCGTTATACATATCAAACCGTCAGGTAATACGAAAATGGCTCTAATAAGTAGTATGCCTGTTTTTATATGAAGTGCGCGAATCACAAGGTGCTAACGTATGCTTTACCCAATATTGATGATTTCATACGTACCTTCAAGCTGTTAGCCCCGAAATCATTTCACGTAATATCATTGTGCAATTGTACATCCACTCAGAACTTGATTTATTTAAACTTTCTATCTAAGTATTACTTACCATGGATCGCATCAATTTAGCCTCGGGAGTTAAAGCAATGGTTACAACATTTTACTCTGTACTATCGATATATAACATCTGTCTATGTTCATTATTCAATGAGCTCGAGTCAGGTAGATAGAATAGTAATGATTCTAGATTGATTTGAGTTCGAGGTGAGATTTGCAGATGAGTATTCATAGACGTATACGTAAATGGTTTGAACTTTTTTTGAATAGGAAACTGTAAAATGCTAGGGCTTGGATCTACATTTTAGAGGGAATGTCTGGAATAGCGATGGAATGCTAAGCCAATTAAGCATTATAGAACATTATAAAGCTCTAACTTAATTAAATTCAATTATCAACAATCGACTATTATATGAATTCACCAAATCCAAAACACACTTAAACTCTTTTGAATTAAGATTATCTCTTATTTCTTATTTCCAAATAAAGAATCAGTAGAGATTTCTAATACTTTATTTACTTTTATAATCAACCGATTATATATCCAAACCTTATTCTATAATAGGGAAATTGTATTTTGGATTTGATGAGTTTATACGATATACTACTCAAATCATGCTATATAAGTACTCAGAAATGTCTGGGAGAGGGTTTCTTTTTCTAACAAATTCCAAGTCTCCAAAAACTTGAGACCTGCAGCTTTATCGACTCTTTAATTTATTCAACACCAATAACTCATTTCGATGGCGCCAATAGCCTGGTGGCATTATCTGGTTGGTGGGATGGGAGGAGAGCCATTCCAACACGCCCGACCACATGATCCAGTCTCAAAAATCGAGACCTGGACAACCAGCGGCTCTTATGAAGCTTTCTGGGGTATTAAACTCACCCATGTTAGTGGGACACAGTCACCATTGATTGGCACAGACCAAGGAACCTTGAGTTCTTTCACAATAGCATATGGGGAGCGATTGACAACGATGACTAGCTATACGGATGGACCAATGTTCGCAGGTTTCAATATAGTTACCGACAAAGGGAGGTCATTCATGGCGGGCAAAGTCACTTCAAAATCATATTGGCAACGCCCTTACAGCGGTTTCATTGTAGCTGTCATCGGACGAGTAGGCTCGGAATTCGATCAATTCTCATTCGGCATGTTAGACGATCCCCAACGCTGCGATGTCGATATGAATTATACTATGATGCCACAGGGCGGGATTAGCGATGTGTCGGTGGTACGAGTGACCAAGGATAACATACAAGGGGAGCGTGATGCCGATGTCACCATTGGTGAGTCTGTCACCGTCACGAGCTCCTTATCCACCACCAAGACATGGGGAGAAAGTTTGGGGGTATCGGTTAGTGTTTCGGGTAAGGTATTTGGAATCGGGGCCGAAGGCAGCACAGAATATACATACAGCGAGGAGAACAGTGAATCGTCGTCTTATGAAACATCCAAGACGACCGATATTTCTGCATCAATGCATGTCCCCCCGGGAAAGAAATATCTCATTACGGCACTGTACTATAAAGGCACCTTCAACATTGACTTCCGACCCAAATATAGAATCGTCACGAGCACTGGATTCACAGCCAATTTCCCTGAGGGGCCGGCACAACCTGTCTCCGGTGTCGCTTCTGGAAACATGATAATCACAACTATCGACATCACAAACATGCCTCAAAGTGAACCTCCTCTGCTTGCCACTCCGCCAACGGAGATTGGAGTTTCTCCTGACAATGACGACGAGGATGAAGGACTTATCAAATCCATTCCTGAAGCTAGATTCGGGAATGTGCTTACGAGGAAAGTCCTGGATGGCAGCGAGAATGCTCGGAATTTTCAGAAGGCTGTCGGCGTGTCTGCCGATGATAAGTAATGAATACCGAAATTCGCAATAGGGGTCAGAAGATGAGGCGATGATAGGCTATAGAGGGTCGACATTCATTCATTACATTTCCGGATGCACTCATAACAAATTCTGTCCTTATCCAAGTTTATGAATTTGCTATTACCACCCCGTTTGTTTTTGATTGGAAAACTTGTTAATATTTTAATACTGAAACTGTTTTATCCTGAGAAAAATCAAATTTCAATCAATCAATAAGTTGATGATTTATTTCTGCTTTATTGATTTTTGTTTGACTTGAACAATGTGTCCGTGAACTTTATCGCTGGAACGGTTGTAAGGCGTGATTGACGGGCCATAGGCTTAATAATTATATTTCTCAGGTTAATCATTGTAAAGCATGACTTGTAGAAGATAGAATGGAAACCTATGATAACCTTGGCGAGTTGATTTTCTGTACAACTCGCTTCTATTGAGATCAAATAGAACTAATCCTAAGTGCTTATTCAACAAAAGAAAACGGCTTTCAAGATACATCTCTTACAAACTACCAGCCAACTATCAACATTCGTCAGAGATCCCCCTGGTCATCGTTCCCTGCCACCCTCCCTATATTCTGACTTGGGATAAGTATCGGGATTGCCGAACGAGATGATTTCGGATATAGTTGAAAGTGGTAAGTTTTCCATACAGTTAATACTTTCGGCTTGAATTAATAGATTATAGATCACCACACATTCATAAATGAATAAAAAGATAAAGAGAAAGATATTCGCTATATCGCAATAATTTCCGACTTCTTAATGGTGAAAGTTGTTGCTGGTGAAATATATCGCATAGAAGAATTTCAAAGTCAGTGTGAGTTGATGTTCTTGCCCCACTAACCGCTCATTTTAACTAGTTAGCTCTCTTTGATCTACAATACTAAGCCTTACACGCAATGTATAATTGACGCTAACTAATATCTTTTCAAATGGCAGGTTGAAATGGCGATGTAATGCCAAGGCCCTTACCCAATCAAGCAACCTCCGATGTTCCGATATCTTTCAAACAACACCCTTGTCAGAAATGGGCACTTGAATTTTTTTTTCGATGAGACTGGCACTTCACAGGCTATGCTTTGGAGCCTCTATAGCATTTTTTAAGATTCGATTCCAACTGACCAACCACAACTCACGATGAATATTCATATTTAGGCCTATCAGGGGCCTTGAATAGGGCCTAGATTCCGTAGGTCATACCATGCTCTTGAAGATTATTCCTCATTCTATACTCCATCATTGTGCTCGCGGAAGACCCCTGATAGAAGAGAAGGCCCAGAGCCAATGATACCTCACCACTATACATAGAATTAGAATAACTAGGTACTAGAGAACGAAGCTCTATATTCGAATCAAGTTCGGGAGTATAATAAATGACCTCCAGCTGCAACACGTGTGATGAGGAAATTATCGGATCATCTAGCAAGACTTCTTCAGCTATTGGCTTACTATAATAACATTACTAATCTAAACTATATAAAAAAGCTTCATCCATCTCTTCAAATAAGAATAGCACTCTATACTCGAAGGGTGATTCCATGAACAGATTGTACATGACTTTTGAAACGTTCCAAATGTTTGAGAACGAGCCCCTGAGATTTACAAATGGGATGGTAACATTTCATTCTGGCCCCTGGATCTTGTCCTTTGAGATGAACTCGTTCGACATGATCCATCATTTTTGCAGGACGACAAAAGGAACCGACACGCTGCTCGTAACTTCTCGTCTCGTCTCCAATGCAAAAGGGACATTGACTTTTGCCACAGACAAGGGGGAAAAATGGGTCGGTCTCAGACAAGTCCTTTTCGATAATTGACTGTGCAGGTAGTTCAGCCCGACGCATGTAGCGTTGAGGTATCTCACGGCAACCACACAATGCCAACATGAGGTTTGCAGCTTGAATACGGAGTTTGACAGCATCCTGCGGTTTGGTAGTTCCAAAACGTGTACATAGAAGCTCGGCCAGTTCTCTCCTTTCCGGTATTTGATATTCAACTATAGGCTCGACATATTCCTCGGCCTCATATCCATTGTTCTGTCTTTCAATGTCTTCGGTAGGACGGCGGCGAAAGTAATCAGCTCTATACTCTTCGGAGATAATCTTACGACGTCTGCTTCTAGCACTCCCAATTTCATTTGTTAGGCGACGGACTTCTGCTTCAATGTCTGTCCCCTAGATTCGATAAGAGAGGCCTTTTAAATTCTGCCGCTCCTGCTCCAATGCGGTAATGTGTGGATCCGGTGGGAGTGCAGCAAGTATATCATTGGGCACTACAACCGGAGCGTGAGGATCGCGCATGAGGCTCATGTGAGTCAGCATACGCAGCACCCCATCTGCAGAGGGGCGCTCGAAAACAGCAGACTGAACGTCAAATCGAATTCGTTCGTTGATGTAAGCCCCATTGTATACACCTGACATGGCTTTGTGTCTCATAACCTGATCACGAACAGCTTCTGTTGCCTTTTCTGAAAATAGACAATAAATTAGTGAAGTGGATAATATCACGTTCGGGATATAATTGTCTACTTACGATCAACTATATTTGCTGTTCCACGACGAAAGCAATAGCTGGTTAGCTTCTCTTGGAAGCCTGTCGCACATCCAAGACGGTTTAGGCTATCCCGAAATTGAGAATATGGGAGAGGGGCAGTCAGACTATCGGGACTGGTAGCTTTATATCTACGAAATATTGGAGTCTTCAGCATTTCTGCCTTCCAGTTTAAAGGTGTACAAAAGATGGGTCCATGAATCTTATGCTCAAAGACTAATTCGGGCTTCGAATGCATTTTCTGCGAGCGCTAAAGCTACCAAATGAGTGATAGGACAGAAGATTGGATCATCGATTTCAGTAAAGAAGAATATTGTACTATAAATATTGGTCAATAACATGCAAACATTCCTATTGTGTAGGATATGACATACGGTTTTGGGCATCTTTTGTGCCCTTTATGATGAGCCAATGTCACCTCCATAGCAAGGACATGGTCTTTGTTGTTTTTGCTATTTCGTACCGCCAATAAACGAATATCCTCGTAGCACAGCGCATCACACCGTTCAGTTTTGTTATTATTATAGTTCTTGCCAAAAGTGCTGTTGCCGTATTTCATTCCATGATCATCGTCGCTCTCATCGCCTTCAGATATGACCTCGGCGCTAGATGCGCTCTTTGGTTTCTTCTGCGCATCAACTAGCTCCGCGGGCCGACAGCCTGTGCCGAAGAGAATGAGTAGGATGAGTGCAAATTGTATACGATGTCGTTCTGTAGGGAAAACCGAAGTATCACGCGCCCAATGGTGATTGAGTAGAAGCAAGAGATCATCTACTCCTATGACGGGTTTCGACTTGACCGTATTATCGAGTCCAAATGTATCAATATACTACAAACAGTCATTAGGAATCCTGAATTCATTCACAACCAAAGAATGTCATACTTTCAAAGCTTTTTTCCCATCGTTGGTATCCATTTGACGACCATTCATTCGATTGTATAGCATCTTAAATTGTGCAATATATTGTTGCATGGCGCCTCTTTTTTTAACTCGATCTTCCGTATGGATGTAATGAAGGAATGCTAATGTTGTGCCGAGTGAACAGTCGCGAATCGTGAACTTCCAGTCTTGTTGAAGCTTTTCATGGCAGAACCTATTACCGAGTCAGAATAGCTCATTACAACAAGATCAATATGCGTCAGGTCTTACCGTATAAACTTGCTTCTAATTGATTGAATGTTGTCCGTTGTAGTATCTGCATATTGGTGCTTGATAGCAGTATTTGGGTTATTGTGTTGTGCGATGAGATTTTGATAGTATTCAGATGAAAGCTTGTTTTTCGATTTTGGTCGACGGCGTTCTATGCGTGTGTGAAGATTGTGAATGATTTGTGTAGACTTTTGTACTATTCGAGAATTGATAGGTTTGGGGTTTGTTGGAGCCATGAAAATGATAGTTTTTGATATTGAAATGAATGTGAAAGGAAAGGTAGAAGTTAAGAGAAGAAAATGAAGGAGAGAAGAGAAGAATAAATAAGATGAAATACATTGTAGCAAGTGAAGTAGATAGTAGGTATTACTTTTCGAGGGTGGTCTTAACGATGACCTAGGTATGATTGATCATGGTTGTTTCTTTACTTTAATTTAAGAATGGCTTAACTATGGTTCGCTCAAACATTTGACCGATTGAACACGTGATTAATAATCGGGGTTCAAGGCCAACTAAAACAGCGATGCAACCATCTGAAAACGGTAGCTCTAACACTACAACCTCGCGTAAAACTATAATTAATTATATCTCTTTCTTTTTAAAGACTTTAATAAACTTTATAACTTTCCTAACAATTACTAATCACTTCGAATAATTAAACCCAAACTTATTAAAGATTTATTAATCTTCCACTTTTATATTATTAATTAAAACTATATCCCTCAAAGCCGCCTTCCCCTTTCTTTATTATATACAAATTATATTAACGTAACTTATAATGAACCAAGTCATATAGGAAACCGGATCATAAAATTCAATTCTCTCTATATAATCTTATTCTACGAACTATATATTTATTCAATTTCAACTTTAAATCATTTGAATTATTTTTTAACTCTTCTTCTTCAATCTCTTTTTCTAATTCTTTAATTGAATATTTACATGATTATCCTTATGGCTTTTTCTCCTTAAGTTTTTTCTCTATTTTATATACCATTTTCAGTACTTTCTTATTATTAAAAAACAAATTAACCTTATAATTTAATTCTTTTACTTTTAGTTTTTTTCTTTCAAGTTTCAATTACCTTCTAAGCATTAGCAAACTGTTTCCAAAGTAGGGCTATCTCAGCATTTTGAAATTCTACAAGTCTAATCATTCTCTTGGCATATCGATAAATTAGTAATACAAAAGAATCATTATCTACTAAAGCTTTATTAAAGGTTTGATTTACTTACCTTAACTCTATCCCATCTAGAGAAGAGCTCCTAAGTATAAATAAATCTAGATCTTGATTGAAGGTTCTTATTTATAAAGTGAAAGATTATTGGGAAGAATTAAATGATAATAAATCAAATACTTTTCATAGGGTAAAAGGTATTAAACCAGCTTCTTGTTACGGGAGCTGCCTCTAGGGTCACGTGGAAGTGTCTAGAGATCTCTCGAGGTGGTTTAGACTAGACTTCAAGTAGGAATTCAATAAGGTTGTAACTGGTTGCAATTCTCGTAACTATAGTAATGAAACTAATGATTGTTCTTGAGCACGAAGCTCTACATTGTAATGAAACCCATTCCCTTATATAGACCTTCGTTCTCGTCTGGATAGCTTGGGTAGCTTGGGTAGACTGTCTATCCATCACGTGACACTTGCCCCGTGACCTACATGATACTACTGCTTATCTAACCTGTGCTTACTAGATAACCTGTACCGCTATCCCTCCTGTGCCTACTGTAGGGTAGGTGCCAACAAAAGATAGGTACCTATCTTTTAATCATTGCTTATTGATTCGGTTACCGCTATCTTTCGTTACCCTTTAATCCAACTGTCCCTACAGTGCTGTTTTCGTAGGTTCCAACACCAAGGCCTTAGGTTTATCTTATAATCCATGTTGCGGTGCGGGTACCTCCGTAACACTTCTCTCCAGCCAGCTTTAATATTAAAAGAATTCAGTACTTTTTTTCTAATATTTTGAAAGAGTTCTACTTATTCAGCTTTTTAAATTCGTTTTATATTAGCTCAAGAATATCAATCAACCTTTAAAACATAATATCGTTTTATTAGCCTATACATTGTAATATCAAATAATTAAAGCAAATAGAAGTAATAAAAAGGTAATATAAATAAATCAATATTTTTCTCTATATAGAAAACAATAAAGCTATTTATAATATAACTTAAATGATTATTTATAATCAAAAGTTAAGGTTGATCACCTAACACTTTCTTGAATTTTGATTTGAAAACCCTTTTTAATTATTCTAATTCATAATTATTTGAGGTTCATCCATTCATACTAATAGAGAATTGCCAGCTTTGAGGTATATCCTTTAGAATCTATACAGAATTCGTATTCTAAGCCTTGAAAATGACCATAGGTGATAAAACCTTTCCAGCTACATTGACATATTTAAATATAATTATTCATTCTTACTTGCTAACTATAACTTTCCAATTCGATTTCTAAGTAGAATTGACTATAATATACATACTTTAAGTACTTCCAACTCTAAATCCGGTTTCGTTTATATTATATATATTATCTAATTTATACTTTCATTTAATAAAACATATACGAAATATATCAAATTAAACCTGAATATTCTCTAGTGTTATTTCTTTAATTTAATTAGATTCTAATTAATATGAGTAATATGTTTTAAGTTTTAGATATTGTTTTTGGAATTTATAGATTCATTTGTAGCCTATAAATGGAATTTCTATTAAAGTAAAAATTCGAAATGATATAACCTAAATGTATCGAAAACGAATTTTATTGGTTATTTTCTTTATCAATATAGGTATAGTAGGGAATTTAATAATAATAAATTATAAAATTTATTATATAAGAGTATTTTCTTTTACATTTGAAAGAATTTGAGCTATTTTATGGGATTGAATACGTAATTTCCTTTCAACAACCCTAACTATAAGAGTTGATTTAGAAACTTCAAAATACTCTGTAGCCTTTCTAATTGATTTAAATTCCTTCAATTGAAGTATAATAATAACATTCTGTATCTTTTCTTCAATTTGAGAAAATGTAAGAGATGATTTGCTATGTATAGCAAAATTTGTTGGGGTTTGAAGTCAATGATGGGCTAAATATGACCCGGTTCTTCATATGATCCGGTTCACCATAAGTTACGTTATATAAGATTAATAATATAAAACTTTATAGTTAATTCAAACCTAAATTATTCAGTACAAAACAAATTAATCAGCATCAACATTATAAATAAGATTCAAGCAATAGAAGCATTTATAATATCCCTAGCCGCTTTTTCTTTAGTTTGTATTATAGCTATAGAAGAACAGAATACATGACTATACTAATACTCCCGCTAGCATAGTTTATCCCTAGTATTCTTTGAGAGGTCGTGACGAGCCTCTATAGCTTGCCCCCCGGATGTAAAATAAATAAATATAAATTCACATCTTATAAAACCTTATAATTATATAGAAAATATGTTGGAAGTTGTGGCACGTGCTCTAAGCTACTGTGCATATATCACTTCCACTTCGTAGTTAGATTTTACCTTAGTACAATTAATCTACATAGTCAATAATACATGCATTCCACTGGCCTGCTCCTTTATTGTGAACAGGTTATGAGCCCGGTAGCTCTGCAGTAAGACTAAGGCCGAAAGCTCTTTGAATAGCTTACGTTGCCAAAGGAGAGGTTGACGACGAGAAGCTCCTACGCAACGCGACGTCAACATACGAGGTGCGCACAGCAAACAGATTGCTGAGCAGCGACAGCGAAGTAACCACTTACATCGCGCCTTTTCCTCAAGTAAGAAAACTACGAGTTATTACTGAAAAGACCATTCATTCCAGCTTAACGCTGAAGAGCATCACCTGCTACATAGTGTTCGATATCACTTCAAAAATCATTATCTACAAATCAAAATTCACTATTCTTAATTACCCCGCCTTGAAGAGAATTTCTCCCTTCAAACACTAGTACATCCCAATCGGGACAGCGCAGTCTTAAACAGTTCCTCTTCCACTCTTTCATTCCACCATCAATCACGCCTAGGTCATCGACGCAAGCTTTCTACTTGCAGAACCTTCAAAATGAACGAAGACACTGGATCCAAGGATTACTCCAAGCGCATCCCTCCTCTCACTCAAGAGAATCACGAACGCTGGACTCGTCAAATAAGAATTCAACTTCGAGGAAAAGGTTGGTTCTATACATGCGAAAAGACATTGCATGAATATGCACGGATTGCAGCAGCCGACAACTTAATCCAGGATTTCGAAGAACTTCAAGTCTCCAGCGGCAGCGGCAGTACCACTACAAAGATTCGACTCAATATCGACAAAAAGGCCACCTTTCTTAAGGACGACGCTAGTGCATTATCTTACATCTGTCGCTCATTATCTGACGATGATGAGGCTTTAGTGGACGAATATGATACAGCAAAGAAACTTTGGGATTATCTAGCCGTCAAATACTCCAGAATCGATGATATCGCAGCAGACGAGTACCTCCTCAAGATCAAGACCTTCTCTTTCGACGATACCCCTGATATGACTATTATAGGTGCATGGGATAAGCTCAAGGATCTTCGACGAAAGCTCTTATCTGCGGATGCTTCAGCCGGTGCTTTGTGTACAGATAAATCACTCTTTCAAAGCCTGACCTTGTCTCTCCCTGATGAGTACAAAGTCATCATTGATATGATCCGTGTCGTCAGTTCTACTCTAAGCATTGACGATAAGATCAAGCATCTACAGGTCAAAGAGGCAGAGATCCAGACCTCTGGAGACTCGGCACACCTTGCAAAAGGAAAGAAATATGTCCCACCTCATCGCCAGCGTAAGGCTAGCACAAGCTCGGAGACCGACACATCCATCATCACTTGCGAACTCTGCGACAAACCTGGCCACTCAGTCCTAAAATGCTTCCAGCTCCGTCGCGCCAAGCGTCTCTTGAAATCCGATTCAAAGCACAAACAGAAGAGAAGACAATCCACCTCTCCAGTGCGAAAAGACAAAAAACGCAGGGAGCACAAGGCTCATATCGCCGAATCAAGCTCCGATGCTACTGAAAGTGTCGTCGATAGTGAGTCTGATTCTGAGCATTGTCATCTCACCAAAGAAAGTATTAGTAAGGCATCCCCATCGCAATGGTACGCTGATACCGGCGCCACTTCACACATGTCTGACCAACGTTCTCTATTCAGAAGTCTAATTCGTACTCCGCGACGAAGGATAACGGTTGGTGGGGG